CCCCCCCCATTGGCAACACACAGCCCTTCTCCCTCTCTGAGTCTAAAGTCCCCAGCCGCCCCACAAAGATGTCATTTTGAGGACTAAGGTGAACCTGATCCAAGCCATGGTTATTTTCAGTAACCTCATATGCGTGTGGAAGATGGACAGTGAATAAGAAAGGCTGCAGAAGAATTGATGCATTTGAGTTACGGTGTTAGAGGAGAATATTAAAAGATTATCATGGACTTCCAAAAGGACAGTCATCTGTGTTGGAAGATGTACAGCCAGAGTGCTCCCTGAAAGCCAGGATGGCCAAACTTCAACTCTCATGCTTTGGACATAAAAGGAGGGACCAGTCCTGGAGAATGACATCATGTTTATCATGTTTGGTAAAGTGGAAGGTGGGAGAAAAAGACCCCCAACAAAATAGATTGGCACAGTAGCAGCAGCAATGGGCGCAAGCGTAGCAATGATTGTTAAGTTGGTGCTGGACCAGTCAGTGTTTGTTTCTGTTGTGTATAGGGTCGCTATGAGTTGGTACCAACTCGATTCAGTGGCACCTAAAAACAGTATGTCGTAGTTTAGGTGATAATGTCATGTATGTGGGTTGTTTTCTGCTGCTGTTTGTTCTCTGTCCTAAGAGCTACCATCATTTTAGGGTTGGTGTTCTGGTTTTTACAAATTCTTTTAATTTTCGTTTATCTGAAAATGTCCTAATTTCGCCATCATATTTGAGGGACAGTTTTGCTGGGTATATGATTCTTGGTTGACAGTCTTTTTCTTTCAGAGTTTTATCTATGTTGTTTCATTGCTTTCTTGCCTACATGGTTTCTGCTGAGAAATGAAAGCTTAGTCTTAATTCCTTGGTAGTTAACTTTTAATTTTTCTGAGCTGCTCTCAGGATTCTTGTCTTTGGTTTTGAAAAGTTTAATTATAATATGTCTTGGTGATTTTCTTTTGAAGTCTATCCTATATGGAGTTCATTCCACTTCTTGGATGCATCTCATTTTTCATGATGCTAGGGACGTTTTCTTCCAGTAACTTTGAAGATTTCCTGTATTTTTTTTTGTCCCTTCCTGTTCTGGAATTCTAATCACAGGCAAGTTATTCCTCTTGATAGTGTCCCACATAAATCTTAAGCTTTCTTTGGATTTTTGGCTCTCTTTTTCTGATTGTCTTCTATCAGATGAATATTGAGAGATTAGTCTTCCAGCTCACTAATTCGATTTTACATTGATTCAGTTCTTCTTCTTTGCCCTTTCATTTATTTTATCAATTTGTTCTTGTAGTGTTTTCCTGAATTTTTCTAAGTTTTGTCTCTGTTTCTGGTAATTTCCTTGATTGTTCTCTCTCAATCCTTTGAAGGTACCTAAATATTATTTTAAATTCCTTATCAGGGAGTTCTAGTATCATCTCTGGTTATTATCTTCTGACTGTATTTTAGATACTTATTTGAGGCACTGTGTAGTTTCTTATGTAAGTTGAAATTGTTGTCTCAGAGACCTTGTGATGTCATTGTATTTATATTTAATTTATGATTGATGCTGGTGTATTCTTAGGCTTGCGTGTTCTCGTCACCTGTCTCCTGGTGGATGTGATAGCAACTAGAAGTGCATACTTAGTTCTCTGTTAGTTGTTTGTGTAACATAGTTCAGGGAGGGTTTGTCTGATGTTGGCTGCTCATTAGTGTTGATGAGGTAGTACGGCAGTGAGTAGTGGTGCTTGCCCAGTATGTGGAGCTGCAGGTGGTACAGATGGTGGCTCAGCTGTGTAGGCACAATTGCTGTTTTCCAAAAACAAAGAGCAGCAATAAAAGATCTAATGAGGTGAAATTTACGTGCCTCCAGACTAGGGGGTGGAGACGGTGGTAAGCCAGGCAAAGCAAAGGCTCTGTAGGAGTGGGTGCCTCTGGCTGCTTGGTTGGTGAGGGTGAGGACTGGCCGTGCCCCTGGCTACCTGAGGGCAGTGGAAGCAAGGGAGAGCTTCACCCCCCCTCACCATCAGCCTCCACCACTTGTTCTGTTCCTCCAGACTGTTGTATCGACAGGCCAGCCAACAGCCCACCTGTCTGTGTCCCCTGTCTTTCTCTCTTGCTGCTCCTGCTCAGCTTTCTCTTCCATTATGTACTCAGTCCATCTTTCTGCTTTATCCTCAGAAGCTCAGGGTTCCAGGATAACCATCCATTTCTGTTTTACTTGGTCTCCTGTGTCCTCATTGCAGAGTATGCTCAGTGCATCTGCCTACTTTGCCATCTTGCCGTGGAACTCCAAGGATATGCTTTTTAAAAAACAAAACAAAACAAAAACCTTAGAAATAAGTTGATGATGTATTCTTCTCAGTGTGTTATATTGGAGGAACATGCTGTCATTTTGCCCCATCAGTGGTGATACGAGCTTGGATCACTTGCTTGAGGTGTTGTCTTCCATGTTTTCTACAGTTATTTCCCCTTTATAATAAATAAATAATTTAAACCTATGTAAATACCCTCCTTCATGCAAAACTTACACTACTGGCTTTATTTAGCATCTATGATTTTTGCTTGAATCATTTATTACTACCATTATTAATTGACTTTTACGGTAAGGGAGACCTTTCCCTTCTTCGTTACGTACATATTTATATATCAGTAGAGACTCATGGATTCTTATTTGTTCAGTGACCTATAATTGTAAAATTCCTCATAAATTTTACTTTTGGGTACTAAGACTATACACAGCAAAACAGGGTCAGTCAAAAAGTATTGCTATAAAAATCACAGTAACCATTTAAAATAAAAATATTAAAATATGAAGCTGTTGCTTCTCAACGTATCCTTTATCTAGGTCAATACACTATTGAAGGCAGTGTATCCATCTCTAACAATTCCCCAGAGAATTATGCACTCTTTGATTTGCACCACATCAAAAAGGCAGTTGGACATCTTTAAGGGATGATCCTTTTTCAATATTCTTTGAGTTTAGGGAACAAAAAGAAGACTGAAGGGGGGCAAGATTAGGGTTAAGGTGGATGGGGTAAGGTTTCCCAATGAAATTCTTGTAGGACTACCCTTAGCTACCCTCAAAAATTGAGCAGGTGTATTGTGATTTAAAAAAAAAAATTCTTCAGCATAATTTTCTGCCCTTGTTCTCACCATTGTAGTTTTCACTTTTCTTAAAACTTCTTCTTAATTAATCCTTATGATTATCTTGTGTCCCTCAAGAAAATCTATCAAGATGATCCCTTTGGGATTCTCAAAAACAATTGCCAACACATTCTGAGCTCTGCTGTTAATTTAATGACCCAGCCCATCCCCCTTAGAAACCACTGTTTTGATTGGACCTTTTTTTGAAGGCACCCTAACAAGATTAAGACAAAGTATATTATTGAGAGAACTTGTCTGCCGCTATCTGCTGATCCCAGAGACATGTTTAAACACATTTTGTTTGGAATAAACCTGTCCAGGTATGATCTGGAACTAGGTTTCCACTTCTACTAGCAATATTTTTTTGGCTTATGCTCGTATGCCAACTCAGCAGTTTCTCCATGTCCAGTTTAGTGACAGTGATTACATTCTTTGAGTTGTGTGACCATTCTCACTCTCCTTGTGCAAGTTGTCCCTCCCTCTTAAAGAGTTTAATGCTCAAGGCAACTTTTTTTCTAGTTAAGCTAATCTGTTATTTGGTTTTAAGTTTACTTCATGGGTTATTTTTGGTTTAAGGTTTAATGATTCAGTACAACAAGTTTAGGGTTTCATCTACCCTCCATGGCTCCAGAAAGTCTGGAGTCTAGGAGAATTTGAAATTCTGCTCTGTTATTTTCCACTTTGGGTTAGGAATCTTCTGTGGAATCTTTGATCAAAATGTTCAATAAAAGGAGCTAGGAACCATCCAGTTCTGGTTTCATAGCAAGAGTTAGTTGTTTATGGAGGCAATAAGTCACACATTCCTTATCCTCCTTCTATTCCTTCATCGCCTTCCTCTGTTGCTCCAGGTGAATACAGACCAATTGTTATGCCTAGGAGGGCTGATTGTAAGCTTTTAAGACCCCAGGCATTATGCAACAAACTAGGAGGTAGAACAGAATCATGTTATTAGGCCAGTTAATTGGTATATTCCACAAAAACCATGATCCTCAACATCCAAACCAAGAGATCAAATTCCATGAGGTGTTTAGTTGAACTTCAGTAGACTCATGTAAGTCTTTTTGAATATACGTGTTCCACCTCCTCTTTTTTCCCTGGTAATTTTTGTATAAAAGAAGTTAGGTCATCTGTCCTGGTATCTGCTTTCTTAGTTTTGCTGATTATATCCCCATGGTGACTTTACCAATAAACTGTTAGTTACATCTAGAAGCATAATCATATTTAACTTTTTTCCCAACTGTTAGGGCCATGGTGGTGGTGTGACACAATCTTTTCTCACCCCTTCACAGAGACTGGAAAGGTGTATGAGCATTGTGACATCGATGACTACTGGTGTCTCAGAGAGAGAGGCCAATGACGCCCTCAATGCCTATGTGAGTATGATAAACTCCTCACATCTTTTTCTACTTCTTTGAAAGTTCTGCGACTAGGAATTAGAGAACTAAAATTGATATCCGTGGCTCCCTGAAGCAGGTTTTACTCCAAGGAAGCATCTCTTGGTGCCGTAGATATCTTTAACTAACTAGTTGTTGATAAGTACCTGGGAGTCAGTCCCTCTATAGTGTTTCAGAGGCTTTAAATCTTCAAGGGAGCAGAAAGCCTCATCGCTCCCTTGGAGTAACTGGCAAGCTCAAATTTCAGACCTTGTGGTTTGCAAACGCTCCCTTAATTAACAATGCTCTTAAAAAATAACTTAAAATTTCTATAGTTGTCTTTTTTTTTCTCTGAAATAATTCTTATATATATACTCTTTTACATTTCCTAATCAATCTATTATTAATAATATAGTCATGTGCCACACATAATGTACTTCTGATAGTGTCTAACCACATATACATCCATGATCCGAACCCTTAGCCTCCATTTGTTGTTGTTGTTTAGTGCCTTTGAGTCTGTTCTGACTCATAGCTACCCTGTATGGGGTTTTCAAGGCTTTAAATCTTTAGCAGAGCAGAAGGCCTTATCTTTCCCCTGCAGAGAGCTAAAACCATGGACTCTTGTGGTTCTCAGTCCAGTGCTTATTGTATGGAGCCATTGCACTCTATTAAGGTACATATAACAATTGGTAATAACAAACTGGTGCTACTTTGCAACAGACATCAAAAAATGTTCTTGTTATTATTGTTACTATAACATTGTTACGGATTTTTTTTGTTTTTGTTTTTAAATTTTTTAAACTTTTTTTTTTTGAGTTGAGTGAAGGTTAACAAACAACATCACTGCTTTACCCTCAACTAATCATACGTTTTGCTTCATCTCAATGATTCCAGTCCCCTTCTGTAACAACAGTTATCCTCCGTCCTCCCTGTGGCTTCCCTTTTCCATCTTATTTTTCACAAATCAACAAAGCAAAAGTATTTGATGTATACATACAAAACAAAAAATATATATTCATTTAAGTGTCCAAAGGGCACATTTTGCAACCCAGCCTCCTGCCTGCAGGCGCACAGCCTTTCTCAGCCCATGGGCCTGGAGTCCTCAGCTGCTCTATCTCTCTATGCCATCGCCTATGCCTCTGTGTCTGCTGTCATCGCTTTTCTGGGCAAGATCTTGTGCTCCACTCAAACTCTTCCTTCTTGATGGTCCTGGGATTGTCTGTTCCTGAAATGAAAGATAAACTACTCCCCCTTTTTAGTTACACAACTTCTACAATTACAGTTGTGACAATTACAATTAATCCTGTTAACAATTACTCACATTTGAATCGTAAAATCCTATCACCATCATCTGTCATCTGCTTTCACCAGATCCATCTGGAAAAGAAGAAAACTATTCAGTGGGATTCTACTTTACCTCCTTGTTCTGAAACTAAGCACACTCATGAAAGCTTGTAAACCAGCCACTTCATGCCTTTATAACCCCCCATTTTTTATAACCAGTGTGTAAATTGCCCATTCCTATTAATCCAGTGGTGCTTTGGTTTAATGTGCTGGACTGCAAAGTCAGTTTGAACCACAAGGGCCATGGTTCAAGTTCATCAGCTGTTCCTCAGAAACCCTATACAGGGTCACTATGGGTCAGAACTGACTCAATGCTTAACAACATCAGCCCAGTACACTGAGGAAACAAGTTTGATCCTTGATATGAAGAATCCTTTGTTTTAGTTGGAATTAATGAGCAACTGCATCCATAAACAAAGGTCCAGTTAATCAAATTGTAGCAATTTGCACTTGCTCACGGTATCATGTATTTTTATTTTCATCTGGTCCGTTCTGGTCAGCTAGACATCCAAGGTAGGTCAAATGGGTACTGTCTGCAAGTTTGGGCTTTCATACACTCCTCCCCACACTTAGACAAGCTGGCCGCTTCACTCTCAGCTCTAGCCCCAGGTGACTAGGTCAGTGCCCATTTATGCGGGAGTTCACACATGGTGTGTGATGTTTGATGTTTTAGTATATCAAAGTGTTTCTGTAATGTTTCTTATCCATAGAAAAGTACACTTCAAAAAATTTGTGAACAAATTCTATTATCTCTTTATTCCATTTTTTCATAAACTTTTTGAAGCCCTGTTTTATCCTAAGAAAAACATTTGACTGGTGTTGAATAGGAATTATATCTAACTGTTCTGACTTACATATAAATTCAACTTAAAGACAGACTTAGGAGTGGAACTCATTAATAATATATACTGTCTGTTTTGCACAATATCCAAATCACATAAGGCCTTGTTTCACAGAATACATCATGGGTGTTAAGTGATGCATGACTGTGTATTATTCTTACATCTTCATTTTACAAAATGTAGAGGTTCACTGATTTGGCTGAGTAACAGTCAGGATAAGGGCCTTGGTGTCCTGTCTTTGAGTCAGATGGGCTTGCTTTACTCCATGATTAACTCTTTGCAGCACTTTTCTCTGCTGAAAGCTGTTAAGGTCTGGTAAAGTTGGTGGTGGAGTAGGATATTTTTAGTTGTGTTTTTTAATTTTAAACATTCTTTTTACTTTCTGCTCCTGACCTGCATTCCTTCTACTTCTTTCCTAAAATAGATGTCCCATCACTTTTAGAAGAGGAAAACCATCATATTTAGGAATTGATGATTCCTGTTTGCAGGTGGCTCAGGAATCCCAAATTTTCTTTAACTTTCTATCTATGAGTGACAACTAGTTTTTTTTCTTCCTCACATTCCAGGTATGCAAAGGTCCTCCCCAGCATGAAGAAATCTGCTTGGGCCTCTTCACTCTTGTCCTCACTGAACCTGCCCAAGCCCAGAAGGTAAGAGTTCACACCATGGACCTACATACCCTCTTCAGATATGAACTTAAAATGTACCTGGGATAGTTTCAGACTCTTAATTTCTGAAGTCTTCTGACCAGAATTGATTCCAAACATAGTTCTCCAAATATAGCTACAACTCCATTTGTCCTCTCAGTGAATTGATTGTTCTCTGATAAAAGACTTGTATGTCCAGATTATGAAGCCTAAAGGCAAGAAAAAGCAGTGTGAGAGTTAAAAAAGCATTTAAAGAGTTTTACATTTCAGATATATGAGGATAGGGTAAGAATTGAATCCAGAGAAAAGGGAATTATAACCACGTCCAGAAGAGTTCTTATTTAGGAGAGAGTGACTTGTAGATTGCAAGTTTTATTGACAGGTGACTGTAGAAAGTAGGCTTCAAATTGCAGCAGGTAGGAATTCGATTCAATAGCTTCATGTAAGATGGTTGGTGCAGTCATAGCATGGAGTGATTCAGACAGTACTGAAGTACGTGTTGTCAGACTGCCTGAGGAATGAGTTATATGGAAGTGTGTCTGGGGTTCCTCACAAACAATACAATTACCCTTTAAAGTTGGAGCCTTCCTTCAGGAAGGGACTAGTTAAGATAATCTCTTTGGATTCTGTTTTTCCTGTAATCAAGCAGTAAAATTCTGTCTGCTGCCTCTCCAGATTCCCTAGAATGGTTTAAAAGTATGTGTTGGATTGTTGTTGTTAAGTGCTGTTGAGTTGGTTCTGACCACTGGCAACCCTGTACAGGGTTTCCAAGGAGGGACTGGTAAGCTTGAACCACCAACCTTACAGTTCAAACCAACTTTGCAGTCCTAGTGCATTAATCAGCAGCGCCACACATACCTGACAATAATTATATGACACCAATAGAGACAAGCTCAGTGTGGGGGAATATAGTATTCTCATTGACTCTTTCCTGAATAAGGTGGGTATGGAGGGAAACTATCATATAATGAGCACATGCTCTGTGCCCAGCGTTATGTCAGGCTCTATTTAGACAGGATCTCATTTAATCCTCTCAAAAACTGTACGGGGCAGTTGACTTTGTTCCCTTCCTTTAACTACTCCCAGTTTCCCTTTGAGGTAACTGGAGGCCAGTGACATTAAGTCTTTTGCCCATGGAGAACCACAGGAAAATCATTCCCAGGGACAAGGATAAGATGCCCAAAGTCCCCTGGCATAGCTGCTTGCATCAACCTCAGGGGAAGGATTTATGGGCGTGGGAACCTAGTATGTTTGTACTCTTCTGATGCCAACTGAAGTCAGGTCTGGATTGAGGCTGAGTAGTGAGGCACCAAGTATTCACAAGTCTGGGCTGGAAGCTTGTCACATTAAATTTCCATTTCATTGCCATACTGACTTTTCCATCAGAATCCCTGCAGACTAGTTTAGTGGTGGGAAACAGTGATGAGCCAGAAGAGCCTGTCTCTTATAAATAAATTGTTAGTAAACAAGAGGAAGGAGAGTGGATAGTTTGGGGCTGAGGTTTAATTTTCTAGTGTGGATTTTTATCAATGCAGTTAAAATTGCATTTAATTACTTCAGTGCAAATCAGTCTTGCTTACTGAAAATCTTGTGTGTTGTATGTGTTTTCAGGTGGTAACTAAATATTAGCCAGGATAAATCAGTAAACCTCAGTGAAGCAAATAGGCTATGTTTGATTTTTGTAGCTCTTTCTCTAACCTTGTAGTGAGAAGTCACAGGGCTCTGCATTTTATATGCTAATTATGTCATGAATTTGGCCATCCAGACATGGCAAGGGACTAGAACATCTCCTTTTTTGCCCTATGACAGTCCCAAGAGAGGAACCTGGGCTATCTGGGGAGGTGAGACATGGGTCTTATTGGTTGACAGTCACACCGGAATTCATGCTCACATGATAAAGATTTTCAAATAAATCCTTACCTTCTAAGCCCTGCATCAGTCTCTCGGACAGAGGGAATGGATACAGGGAAAATTAATTTTGAGGGGTAAAAAGAATTGTGAGATGGTAACTCATTCAGAGACCTTGAACCAGGTCAGAGTAAGGTGTAAGAATTAATGATACGTCTTCCCAGAGCATCTATCCTTTTCCCTTATCCTCTGCCATTGAGTTGATTCCTACTCGTAGCAATCCTATGGGACAAAGTAGAACTATATGGAGTTTCTAAGACTAAAACTTTGTGAGAGCAGACAGCCTCATCTTTCTCCCAAGGAGAGGCAGGCTGGTGGGTTGAACCACAAACTTCATGACTAGAAGCCCAGCGCTTAACCTACTACATCACTAGGGCTTCTTCGTTCTCTTTTGTTGTTGTTGTTGCTAAGTGCCATCATTATCTCGTAAAATAAGTCTGTCCCGCCAAAGTTTTTGATGGGTGTTACTGATGACAACTGAATACTAATGGCAGTGCAATAGACCTCAGTTTAGAGGCTTATTTGGGGTTGTTTTCTCTGGAACAAAAGTCTCTGGATGTATTTTGGATTTAGTTATTCCCAAATCACCACACTCTGCTAGATGGGAGGAGGGTAAGAATGGTGAAAAAGATGGTAGTGGAAACTTGAACACATTAGAAGCCAACTCTGGAAAGCATGGGCTGAGGAACACCAGCAGGAAGCATTCAAGGAGTTGGAGGGCCAGCTCTTGGAATTTCTTCATCTGGCGAACTGGAGTGGATTGATCAGGTGACCAAAAGAACTCAGGAGAAATTAGGGCAGGTATTTATGGAATATGCACAGGGTAGGTTTCGTTCCATTTGTACCTTTCTAAGTTGCATCTGTCTTCTTTGTACCTCTTATAAATGTTTATTGTATTCTTTGAGTTTATTTATGTCTAGATGTCTGAACTGAACAGCTGGGAACAGACCCTGCTAGGGCGCTTAGGATAACGGGGGGAGGCTGAGCTAAGAGGCCTGCGCTTTTGTGCAAGCTCTCACCATGAGGAGATAGAAGTAATAACAAAGGGTCTAGAATCATTGCTAAGGTCTCTTTTCATCAAGGCTCAGGGATCCAGGCCCTGGCAGTTCTTAGTCTAGGCCCTTCTTCCAAGCAGCTCCAAAAAGAAAGTTGGGACTACAAGGGCACAGGAGGGGACATCATTACTCTTTTTTTCTTAAATGTTTTATTGGAATTATGTAATAGTTTACATGGGAGAACATTAATTCTATTGTATATCGTCTCATTGCCATGGTTACAAT